CACACACACACACACACACACACACACACACACACACACATATATATAAATTTACTACGTTCGATCGGATCTAATGTACGGCCCGCGAAAAACTGGTTTATTAGGCATGACAATACATTATGTTGTGTAGTACGGCGATCTTCGTCTTCACTTCCATGTATTTCCTGTCGGTCTGTAATTTAATTAAGATCGGTTTCTAGTATGGAGCGAAACTGTCCGTTTGGCACCAGTTGACCCAGGACCATAATTTCATTTCATATACCATTATGTGATCCTAACAACAGGTTCTCGTACTGTCCGTGTTCGTGGCCGTCGTCATAGTAGCGCAGGCAGCCGACGCTCTTTTGTCGGTCAGTTTCCGATTTGTTTTTATAATATACACTACGCATGCGTATACTCTGCGCAGAAACAGAACACGGTGCGTCTCGGGTTACATATTAAACAAAATATACGCGTGTTGTAGGAAGAAGAAGGTACGTGGTATTATATTTAAAATCAATATTTTGTATTTTAAAAACCTTCACGTATGGGCCATGTTACATTTAAAACGACAGCGTCTCGGCCCCGTTCAAAACTACACCTCGAAAAAAATATATATGAATACGAGTTATGAGTTTGAAATTATTATTCAAATAAAAAAAACCTTAACTGAGAAATGTAGTTTTCTATTACCATGTATAGTTTATATATTACATACCTACTGTCGTTGTTTCCGAAAGCTATACACAGTGTTACGTATTGATAATGGTATTTATTCTTCAAAAGCACAATGTTATAGAGTATTAGCTTTAATAAAATATTTTAATAAGTATTTAAAATCTTTCTACCAGAGAAAATATTCCTTATTTTTTTTAGCTATTACATAGTCTTAAACTGGAACACTGTAATTCATTAATTTTTATGTTACACTCCGTCACGGAAAAAATGATCATTGCGTAGACTGGGATTATCATTGTTGTTTTACTACGTACGGCGTGTTGTAATACTTGAACAATTGTTGTTCGTTTTATAACCAACACTTCCTATATAAACTTATGTATAATACGCTTCAGAGGATATACGAAATAGAAACGGGTTTGACACTGTATACAAAACACGTCCTTAAATATTGCGGGTTACCTAAAATGGGACTGGCGAAGGAGGACAAAAAATAAATAATATTTATTGAGAGCACGTTATACGCATAAATATAATATATAGAGTATGAGTGCGTATATGGCGTATATCTGAAAATCGTCCCGCGGTGTTTCAGCATAAGGTTTTCTTGTTATTCGACACGGCATCCTCCCTGCAGGCGCGCGAAGAGAGGAAGAGGATAGTATATATATATAGCATATAATAAAGGCTGCACTACAAAAGAGACATTAGCAGCATGTCTCCGTCGACGAGCGCAGGTATACGTACACGTATATGTATATTATATTTTATATGTATACGTGGTTTGCAGCATATAGTAAAGTGCGCTAGCGGACAAGAACCCGTCAGTGTGTGCCCATATTCTCATTTTCGGTTCACAAAACAAGAACATTATACAATGGAAATAGTTTTTTCATGGAAAAAAAATCCCCCTCGAGAAGGTTTTTTAAGACTTGCTTAGGGCACGCATACGTCGGGCCGGTAAACAAGAGCAGCTGCCGCCGAGATTCGGTTGTGCGCCGTACGGCGTTTCCCCATTGTCGTGTGCGCTGCGCAATAAAATCCAACGGGACTGCGGCTCGCGATTACAAAATAATATATACATATATAACATATTATGTAAAATAATTTGTAACTCCGATTAAACGAGTCTTGAATGATTGTTGTAATTTATTCGCCGGCAGTTCTCATAACACACATATATCGTTTAAACGATAATTTATATTGTTTTTCATTTGTGCGGTGCACTGCAGTTTTCGGGTTAAAAATATTTTTCCAAGATTTCTGTGCGCCTTTCTTCGATTTGCAAATGTTTTTATCCAAACACAACATAGCGTTTATCACGCTCGCGCGTACATAATACTAATTATTACACTGCGTACCCATCTATACATAAACACACACAACATTTTCGTTTGATCCCGCGTCTTGTCCTTGTGTATATACTGTACATGTACAGACGTCGGCTTTTATATTTTGAAGTTGGTCACACGATCTCATATACACATAGAAATATTTCGCCGTCCAACATATAATAAAACATACCATCATATGGCCGATTAAATTTTTTTTTTCAAACAAAAAATGTAATAAAGTATATATTATTTGTCGGCTACGTTTTTGTACATGGAACACTCGAATGCCGAGGAAATGAAATTATTTTTAAAAAATCCGTCCACCGTGCATAATTTAATCAGTCATCCAAGTAACGCACACGGACCGAGTATCGCGCTGTTTTTTCTTAAAAAGTAAGCGGTTTTTTCGAACACATATTTAAACGTGTCAAAACGATTTCATAATGCGCGAGAAGAGCTTTTTTAAATTATGTGTGCACGTATACTAAATACTCGTAAATGTGTATATAACAGCGAAGGCTTGTACACTTGATATACATAGAAATTTGTCCTATTCATTTTTTAATACGCATATAGAAAAATCAAAACAAAACCAGACGATTTCTAAAATCGAATTTACAAATTATACATTCAAAGGAATAACTCATGTTTATATGGTAAACACACCTCATAATCAGTACCGTGATTTGCAGCAGATTACAATATAAATGCGAATATTGCACGTGACCAATAACACAAACGAGTATACAGAGATTTCGTTAAGGGATTTCGTGTGTATAAGTACGACGTAGATTGCACGATGATTTTTACGCGCATGGCAAATCAATCAAAAGCTGTTCCATATTGACCATATAATCGTTTCCCCTTTTCTGATTTGCATATATACCACAAAATTCATTTGAATGTATGACGAAATTTCACGTGTTGCTGCGAAACCGGCAAATAGAAGAGGGTTGTACTCAGTCGTTAAGTTCCCCGGTGATAATAATGATAATAATGATAATAATAATAATAATACTCCGCACCCTTCACTTCGACACACCGGCAACGTGAACGGGTAACGACCGCTATTGCGCATAAAAAAATAATATGTTTTAAAAACGTTCTCTTATACAGCGGTTATATCACACACGGAACGTGCGTAATAATGTACGCAAATTAAATCGTCGATAAACGTTGTTTAAAATTGCACGGGGAAATTGGCGGACGTATAATGAAATCGCCGAAGAAATGCGAAACGAGTTCACGTGTACTACACGCACGCAAATAAACTTTACAAACAAACATAACTTTTTTCGCATAACCGTTTCGTTCAAGTCTCCCGAGAGAGTTCAAGCGAAATTCGCAAGAACTTTTTCGCATCGAAACGCGCCTAAACCCCTCCCCCTCCCATTAATCGTCATGATGACCACGTGAAAAGTAAACAAAACGGCCAGAATCCTGCTGTTGTCTAATAACACCGCATTTTGTATTATTGTAGACTATTACGATATTACGAATATTTATATGTTGTTATCTTACCGTGTTCTTGCGGCGGACACACGAAACGCGCGCGGTACAGAAGACGCGGGAACTGAAGTGCGTTTGAAACATTCTTGCGGACCGCGATCACAGCGGGTTAAGTAAAAACTGATCGGACCCGAAAACTGCGACGCACCGGTGCGCGGTAAATAACACACCGCGCGCACGTACACCGCCCATAACCTGGGACAACAGATCGTCGGTTAGGATGCCCGCGCGGACCCCTTCCTGCAGCAGCAGTAGCAGCAGCGGCAAGCAACCACCGAAGGGTGGTATGTACGCGTATGTTGTGCAGCACCAGAAGAGAAGAACGTGGACGCGCATACGCAGTAAACACGAACACGAGCGATCGAGTAAGCGAGCGCGCGAGCACAGCATGCACCAACCAAAACAACGCGTTCACATGCGGCGGCGCTTACCGGCCTGTCTCCCTCCCCGTCCCGCGCATTAAACCACTACGGGAGAAGAGTACATGGGTTCCGCACCGGCGGTGACGATGGTGGTGACGCGCACGTGAAACGCGTCCACGCACCCCTCCAAGAGCGTACACCGAGTGTACTACTACCCTCGCGCAAGGGACACCCCTCCTATATTTTATTATTTACAACAAATGCGCGTAGTAATGTGCGTGCGGACTGGGCTGCGACTACGCCACCCTGCAACGAGTGCGATATTCGTAACGGAAACACGGTCGTCACCGCCCAATGGTTTCTCAAAATATTTATACGAATTGCGTTGTTTTCGGGCGTTTCGTCAACGCGAAAATTTCGTGATTTTACATTCATCCCAACCACAAGTCATCTTGTGTTGATTGGATGTGTGAAATTAATAGTAGGAAGTAAATTTACCTTTTTCGTTTTCTCCCGCGTCCAAAATCGAAATCCTTAGTATTAGACCACTGCAAATAATAATTGCTGTAGAACCTATAAAATAAATCCATTTTTAAAAATAGATAATAATTCTTAGTTACAGCTTGATATTAAATACAATTTTTATAATATTTTTATACGTATACATCTTTAAAATACTTAATGGAAACTGTTTGAAAAAATAACAGAAAGGGCATTTGTAAGCTCAGTAAAACCATCAGAAGGAAAACGACCCTTTCTAATCTCCCATATCACTCTTTCCAAATGTAATTACACCACTCTCGGTTGAGTCCGGTAATAATATGTCATTTATGTGGGTGATAATGCGGAAGGAAAGACAAATGATGGTCGAACGACTTCGTTGCCATACGTATTATTCAATAATAATAATTGTCAACAGATATTTTTCCACCAGATTATTATTATAAATGAAACAAAAATTTCACGTCATCGTTATGATCTGTAGTGCGCCATTGTATTTATTTTTAATGATAATAATCTATTAAATCTACTACGTACGGAAAACAATGTTATAATAACAATATAATAATAATGTTATGAATACATACGATGCTTTTTGGAACGCTATAAAGAGTGGCAAAAATAATAATAATCTGAGGCAAGATAAACAAGTCGATGTGCACACACGTACGCGATACTGCAGGAGGCGCGCATAATAGAAACACACTACCGGAAAGCATCTGCTTTTAGGTGGTTTTCAATTTTATTCAATTTCTGTTCCCAAAAACTATACAAACATGAAACATAATATTATGTGTAAGTATAAAATATATCGCCACATCACCACACGTTTCAAACCCATCCAACATCGTGAAAACGAAAAAAAAGTTTGAACCACACCTGGACCATCATCATCATCATCATCACACCGCGGCAGAGGATTGTCCTCATTCGTCATAATCGATCAAAAAACTCATGAAAAAAAATCGCTGACAATATTTTAACACGCATGAGCGGTATGCGTATAACAAATCGGTTTTTTCCTTACTAACGTCACTAAAACTTTTTACTAAAATACATCTAAAATATTTTATTACGCACACGTTTGTAGTTTTCCGTACAAGTATATAACTACGTGATGTGTTCCCTCGGTGGATTTTATTACTATTATTCACAGCGGTAAAAAATTACGCTGGGGAGAAGTTTCATTTTTTCTGTGAATTTCTTCTTGATCGTTTCGAAACCCTCGCGGACGATGAACCATTAACGCGACATTATCAATAAAGGTCCATTTTGAAAATTGAAAAACGGGGACCCAGCTACGTGACACTGAGCATGATGCAAAGACTTTAGGGGTGAATATATATTTGCACAACTCTTTTTATTATTATTATTTATATCAACCGACGACGACCAACGTGCGTTATATGCATTGCAAAATATACCGACAAAAAAAAAAAAAATGAAATAAAAAATATACACCGTTTGTGAAGGGGGAAAACTCAATTCGTCATTTTGATTACGAACGCATTCAAAACACATCGTGAAATTAATTTTCTTTATTAAAACCTAGCGTATAAAGTATTATATTACATCCAGACACCCAGTTAGTTACTTGTGGTGAAATTATTTATACGAATCAGCACGGTATATACGTATGTAGTACGTATGGTATACGCGTATTATTGTATAACCTAGAAAACATTTAATGCGCGAGACACTGAAACGTCTGGAACACAACTTTTGCACGTAACTGTAATTTGCTTTTAATATTTTCATCATCCTTTAAAATAATTATGAGAAACTAAAAACAATATTTTGTTTATAGATGTAAAAGTTATACTCAAATTTAAAACGCACGAAAAATATATAATAATATCGATCTAAAAATTAGACACAAGGTGCTTACTATTATATCCTTTAGATACATATGAATTGTTCAAATAAATGATTATTGATTTTATAATGTATAATATTTCCGTATGCGTAGATATAATATATTTGAGTACTATTAGTTATCAATTTGTATGGAATTATCAGGATTAATCAAGATAACACTTGACTTACTTAATTGGTAGTTTTCCTCCTTAAACTGAACTGATTAACGTCCAATTAGACAATTGTACGTCTTTCAATAATTGACTTGCGGTTTTTACTTGTTGACAGTATCTCCTGGGGTTTTATCATATACAATCGATTTCAAATAAATTCTTACTCGTCTGTAAGCTAATTTTTAACCGAAACGACAAAGTAGTAGTATATATTTTATTACATACACGAAATAATATTAATACGATGTTTAAATATCTTCTATTCCACGAGTTTTATCAATGATTCTTCGACTTTTGTATCAGCAGAATTAATTAATTTGTTGATGACTCTGACCTAGAAAAGCAAATATGTGATCATCAGACGTCATAATGAATCAACTAGTTAAATACGTATGTACATATTTATTAGTTATAATATTATGTGAACTATTTACGTGATTAGCCTAATCTAACTGCATTTTAATATATTATTTTTATACTCATTAAAATCTATAGGTAGGTACGCTGACAATGTTATTTTTATCACAAATACATAATTATTTTATTCTTTATTCGTTTTTAAAGTGTATCTTTACGAAAACATTGAATGAAGATAGAACACAACAGGGATCTGTATAAAAAAATTTTCTTTCGGACCCGTAAACATCTGTCACCGAATTGTTGGCCAACCGTAGTTGATTATGAAACTCCTATACATCTGCTCCTTTTTATTATTATCGGCCTTCTGTTCATTGCATACAAGCTTAGTTCGTTCTTACAACATACACTCACACACTCCCCTTTAGTAGGAAACGATTATTTTTTTTTTTTTATCAAATAACACTTCCCTATTGGTCAAAATTAAGTCAAAATTTAAATCCTAGCATAAAATGATTGCTAAACTACTGAACAGTCAACTAACTGCAGTTACAAATATAAAAATTTTTAACTTGAAATTTTATAAATTATAAATTAAGAAAAAACACTATTTGTGTGTTAACTATGCTGTCATTCCCTTCGAGCGGTATAGTCGTTAAATTGTAACTAATCCCGACTACTTTTTTTTTCAAATGTATTGTTGTATTTAAAGGTAAAACAAACTTTTTTTTATGGTATATAATTAATTTATAACCTCAACTTATTTTACACCTATACTAAAAATGTATTAAATTAATGATACGCTTAATGATAAAGCTAATCTCAGAACCTAAATTTTAAATCAATAAAAGTTAAATGTCTAGAACTGGTTGCTATCATTGTCTTGAAAAGTATATTATTATACACATATTAATAGCATTGTTATCAGTTTTCCATTTAAAAATTATTACTATACAATAAACATAATATGTTAATATATTTACAAATACGCGTATCACAGACTTTAGTTGAAACAATACTATAATATACTATATTAATAGTGATTAAAACTATTATAATGATGTACCTATGATACATATAAAGTAGGTGTATTTTCAAATAGGTTCAAAGAATTATTTAAATATTAATTATTACTTATTAGCATTTCAATATTATAGTAATTTATGAATATAAATTATTATATTTTTATATTGCTAGTAAAAACTATAAGTGATAAGTAATAAATCGCCTAATGTTTAAAAGAATACATTTGCGGTTTTAGATTGTAAAATTTGATTTTATAAATTACGTATGCCTATTTCGCGTATAAGATGATTATATGTAAATGAGTAAATTACGTTTTTGTGAAGTACACACACATTTTTGGTACAAAAACAACATGGGTACCTAATAAAAAGTACGAATTTAAAAGTGCCGAGAAGTGGTGCCAACGACCTGCAATGATTATGCAATGTTTTTCGTATCAAATTCGACGCTTTTCCGAACACAATTTATTATTCAAATGCAATACAACAAGCCGATTAATACGGATATATATCAGCTATTACCTACGTTATCACCTGTTGCATAATTCAGCTAGAAAAAAAATGCACGCAAAATATAACGGCGATCCAACGATCGGTTTATTTTGCAATTCTCATTCTATAAAATATGTCAACGACTCGAACACATAGTTTATAAACAAACAAGATTTCGCTCGTCTGTGTATGCAGATATGATATTTTGGGGTAACGCCATCATAAAAACCATTGTTATAAATATTTCTGTATATATTAAAAAAAAATGTAAAGGTTCAAATACTATACATGAAAAAAAAACTAGGAACAATTTTCTTTATCATCTGCAGACAGTTGTATTTACTAGGCAGTTTAAAAATTAGAAAAAAAATACAACCATTTTAGCAGGTTTAACGACGTTTACGACTCAGGATAAATAATATATGACCTTTGTCAAACCAATGTGTCTCATTGACATTATCGAATGTCCGGGTAGAACGATTTGTAAAATTTCTGGAACTTACAACGTCAATGACCTCTACGAATGTCATTAAACTCGCGTATGTGCTATGACGTTATCTTAAAAAAAAATAAAATAAAAACGACCTTTCTGGCTTTTCAAAATAAAATTTACAGTGAAAAATGTACAGTGTTAGTTTTTTATTTACAGCCACGTATCCTTCAAGCAATTCGCGCTTGTAACCTAATAGAAAATGTAAAGCCATCCGTTCCGGGCGCTTACGCTCGAATTTCATGGATGACCAATTATAAACTGATACAGTTTTACAGTAAATAAAAGAGAGCAGGTAATTTTTAGTTGAAAAAATTTAAATTGAAAATATTTTTCTCCTCATTTTTGTAAGAGTTTAACACATAATATTTATACAAACAACACGTGTTATACCTGAGGTTGGAAAACATATTGTATTGATCTCCATTGAACGAGAAACCAGAGCAATATATTTGAAGGTCTTTTTCTTTCTTTCGTTTTGGTTTTTTTTTTCTAAGACGTTGGGATAACTCAGGAATTTTAGACCCGGATTTCTGAATAAAGGCATGCTACCTGCTGGCACTCACCCTTCGAACGGCGTTTTCACAAACGAAGTGAAATCGTCGTACAATATTAGGAAACTGAAATGCACAGAATTATAGAATGCTGGCGTTAAAATTAAACATTATATACCTTGGATGGTCAACATATTATAACATCAACACACCTTTTAAAAAAAAGATTCCATATTTATTTAAAATTCAAATAGTAAAAGTAAAAAGTCAATGCTGCGGTTCACACATTTTATGCACCAGAACGTAAGCCAAACGACAAAGATTTTGTAGGAATCTAAATATAAATTATAAATAACACTATATATAAGAGCGAGGAATGATGTCAGTAATATAAACATTTTTATTGACAGTTACAATAGCTGTTAGAGAATGGAAATAAATATTAAGATAATACATCATAGATATATACATTATTATTATAAATAAAATTTGAAACATTTAGTTCAGTAGTCTAATCTAAATAATTAATCTATAAACTACTCTTACGTTTTTTAGTTTTAGTAGTGTAAGAGTTACAATATTTTTTTTCATATTTTTGCTTTATGCTTAAGCCCACTGATAAATAATATAATTCAATGATTTACATTTTTTACATATCTTTTAGTTCAAAAATTAATTAAAAACACTTTTATAAACTATAATTTATGTTAAAAAGATTTTATTATTATTAAACACATTTCTATTTTATAAAAAAAATAAACAATAAGATAACATAAAAATGAATAACTAATATTTAAATAATTATTAATCTCGTGTGAAGAATCATGATTTTAACACAACATTTTAAGTTTCATTTATAAAATAAATTATAAACGATTTTCAATTTCAATAACACTTGACAATAAATTATGTATAATATAAATATATAGTATTTATTATATTGTCAAATAACATGGATTTTTAAATTTTATACAAATTATATATGTATTAAAGGGTATTATCTCGTAAATTTAAAAAAGAAATTACTTTTGACTTTGGCATTATTTTAGGATAAATGGTAAGGATACTATTAATTAACATATTATAAAACATATTAAGGCAAATTACATATTTTTTAAAAATATTTAATCAGTAACTGATCATACGAAATAACTCGATGGTTTTTTTTGTAGTGCTTAAGGTAAAAATTCGAATTCTTTTAACGCCTACAGATATTAATCAGAAACAACTGGTTTCTTTATAACACAATTACACAGCTACATACTACTATTTATTTCAATTTGATTGTTTTATTTTAATTCAAAATAATATAACAGTAATATTAATTTTTAGACTGCATATAGGAAATAAAAACATTTTCTAATTGTTCATGTTCTTGATCTTAGTCATTAAATTAATTAAGGAGACGTAAAAAGGAAGTCAATACTTTTGTATATTTACGTCCAACATAATATCCAATAGCTAACAGGTAAGGATGTTATTTATTGATAGTTGTGGCCTGTGATTTATTAAACTAAGGTTCAAAATAACGACTTTTACTCGTAAAATATCATGTTTACAACAGATTATAAAATTAAAATTACAAGCATTTTAAGAGTATTAGGCCGTGTAAAAGGTTCGTTCTATATTGGTTATGCGAAACAATTGAGAAATACTTAACACTCTAGACTACGATTGGTTTAGTCATAAGTTGAAACAGAAATATTGTTGAAGCCGTGGTTGAAGTATTCAGAAAAACCTAAACGTTCAATTCTTATAAACATTGAAACGCCCGTATGATGTATACGTTTATTAATTACAATTTATAATACATATTGTACATTTTTGTTATTATTAAAAGTTAAACCTATGATATAATATTTTTTTTTCGGATTTTTTAGTGAAAGAAAATGGGTCAACAAATATATCGGTTTAACATTTCTCAGCGACAGCCGGTAGACGTGATCCGGCAATTGAGTTTGTATAGAATGGGCGAGGTTTCCTGTGCGCACGGGGCTCACCTTGTAGCTTCCTTTACATCCTTTGTTTTTGTCACCGTCCATTGGATACACAGTTTGATATATATACATTATAAATGTCCATAAAAAAAAATTAGATACTAAACGTCTTGAGCCTCTTAAGGTATATATACGCGCACGCATAATAACACATTTCCACAATTTACAAAGATACAGGGTGGTCGAGGTTATACAGTCGTAAGAAATAAATCGGTATTAATTAGTAGACAAGTGGGATAACAAGAGGATTGTGTCTGCCGTTTCCACTGGCGTGTAGACAAATCATATTTTATATTGGTCACGAAGACGCACATTATGGTATTATGGCTCTTATATAGTATATTTAAACGTAACTGACAAGTAGACTAATGAACCCTATGGAAATAATCGTACTTGGATTGTATGCGGCTTATACAAGTAAGAATGGTTGTTCTCGTTATATATATATGTGTGAGTATGTGTATTAGTTTTATAATATTTTTATAAGAATATATTTATAATTATATAAACTTATCTAAAACAGAAATACAACTCATTGACATTGAACAAAATCCAAAACGAGCAATTGGCAAATAAGGGCATTATTGCAACGATACATAAAAAACATTTGTTGATTCATATATTACGAAGTACATGATATGTTTTATGCAATTCGAATATAATGATGATTTTATTATGCATCATGCAGATATGCTACTGTGCCAGTAGAGTTCTGTCACGTACAAACATTGTCCAATACCAAGTACAAGAATAGGCCGAAACGTTTTAATATAATTGTTTTTTTTCCAACCCAATTTCAACATTTAATATAGGGGAATTTATGAACATCCTATCGCGTTACACAGGGTTTTTTTCTTGACGGAGATGTGGGGCGGAAACATTTGAATGGAATACCTGGGATTAATCTTTGGTTACGAGAAAAATACGTTATCTGAAGGCGATGTGCACAAAAGATGAGGTAGGCACTACACATAATGTATGAATATACTATATACGAGGGCAGATGTGTCGTGTGACCAGTTCCGTGCGAACACCTGGTTCGTTATCGAGAGAAGTCTGAGCATACGATTCAAGTATTAAATCCCTAGGATAAGAATAATTAAAATATATACGCAAGACGTGCTTGAACCTTTTAGACGCAGATAAAAATGTTAGTGACTTGAGAAGGATAAGTCAATATTTTTATTATGTTTTTAACAATGAAAATTATTAAAATTTATCACTATCGAACAAAAATAACTGGATCTTCTATATGAATTAATTTTAGTATAGGACATTGAAATATGATAAAACATTATAAAGAAAATTAGTTTTGAAAAGCAAAACGGCTAATAGCTTATAGTAATAATCCAAGCATAAATGTAATTCATTATATATTTATACATTAAACGATATATAAATTACATTTACTCGCATACATAATACACACACACACACACACACACACATATATTATATTATTCAAAACGTTGAGATCGCAAGTAAAATAATATTGTCTAGTTCTTTGCAATGATGCATAAATATTTAATAGCCAAAATGTTCATTCTTGAAACTAATAGTCTACTCCAGAATAATGCTATATTTCAATAAAAACATAATTGTTAGTCTAACTTTAAATATCACAACAGAATAAAAATAATAAAATAAAATGATGTGTAAAAACGGAATTTAAAAAAAATTGAAATGAATTAAGGAGTATTTATTATTAAGATAACGAACGTTATTCATCGTTCCACGCGTAGCACGCGACTTAATTTGGCATCGAAAGTTTTCTACCAACATCGAATAATAATAATAATAACGGTATAATGGTTTGATTTTATTGCTGTACCATGTAATATTTATAACCCACACACACGACGGAACTTAATTAAATTTATAATAATAAATTATTTTTAACGTTAACTACAATCCGTATCAAAGCACATTATTGTCAACAATAAATCGCGACATGTTGCATTATAAAATGTACATAATAATAATAATAATAAACAAGCGTTAAAACGTCATTCATATCATTTCGTTTCCATTCAAATCCACACAATGAGCAGCATTAATGGGAAATAAATAAGTACGTGGAGATGGGTTGGTATACCTAAAGACCAAAATAGCAACAAAAAAAAAGGCTAACTCATAAATACAGTAGAGTCGTGGAACCCCGCAAACTTTGATAAGTCGTATACAGTTCTATCAATCCCTTCGGAAATGTATGTCCATTCCGATTGAATCAGGATAACTCAAATTAATTTTCGTAATATTCACGAGTAATCGTTGCGAATTCAGTACTTAGTTGCGTAGAAATTGACAGATATTTCAAGTGGGAAATTGGCCAAATATCAATAAATATAGTAAATGTACGGAAAAATCTTACCTGGACCGAGTAGGTGATGAGATATGATCCGACGAACAAATACAAACATGCATATAATGTATTAGTGTGTGCAAAAAGCCATTGGGGACACGTGTGGTGGTGACTATTGTCGGACTATTCGAGATTTCCAAATGAATATATTATATTAGATCATGGCAGAAGGACGACACACTATTCTGTAATGCACACACACATACATAGACCAGCACATGTGCGGTGTGCGGAGAAAAAAATAAAAATTCCCGAGATGGAACGAAAAAATAAAAATAAAATAAATATAATAATAATAATATAATGTGTAATATACATCGGCCAACTAATGGAATGAGACTGTCGTGTTCAACTAGTCCGGCGTGTAAATAAAGAACCTTTTCGTGATGCCCGTTTTAATTTCCAGGCAACGTTGTGCTATGGTTGAAACGTGGTGGTGGGGCAAGGTTATTACGGTATCCGAAATACCGTCCGTTGGTTCCTGTGGCAGCATCTACCGCATAAAACGGACACTACGCACGTGCTACGACGCCGGGTTGCGGGCTCGTGGTGGTCATGGTGAGACTCGTCGTCGTCGTTCGTGTACGACCCGCAGATATCTAAGAACGTAATATTCTTGCAATCGGTATACTATTATACGTACATATTAAAATATTAAATATATTATATTGATTACGGTTACACATTTTTCACCATTATTTTACACTTTTTTTCCCCACTAAACGTAATGATATATAATTTTAACAATATTTGCTTACGTTAACACAACGCTTGCAGATGACAACATGCATACTTTGATACAGTATAATTGCGTTTGAAAACAAATTTCGATTCATGTGTACATAAAATATATTTATACTGCGTATGTCAATACAGACATACACATCATATACTCGTAATTATGTTATAATGAAGAGTTAAAGAAATGTACAAAAACGTCTACAATCAATGCTTACCTAAATCGAGTAGAGTATAGAAAAATATTCTGGTCGATGTATTAAAGTACCATTAACAGGCAATTCAAGTTTTTTAAGTGGACATTGAAACCACAAATGAAGAACCCTATATTTGAGAAATCAATGATACTACTGATCCGTAGAAACACTGCCGTAGAAGGGTGCGTATAGAGTTTTTAAAAAGTTATTAAGTGTTATATACTATTTATAATAACGATTATATACACGTAATCCACTCAACTTATTAATGTTCAATATATCCTACTCTGAGTTAAATTTATATCGATATTTTAATTAAAACACTAAATGTTAAGTATAATTTATTCAAGTTACCTAACTAATTAATCGTGAAAATAGCTAGTACATATTCAAATAAAACATTATTTTTATGTTAAATACTGTTAGTTATTAATAGTTAAATTATTTAGGTGCGGCTAAATTTATAAGAATAAATCAACGATCATCGCTAAATAATCATAGTGAAATGAGATATACTTATTTTAGAAAAAAAAATTACTTATAATCAAAAAGGAAACGAGCTGATGTAGGTATAACTATACAGATATGTTATATTTTTGTCCGAATTAAGAAACCAAATTGTTTAATAGATTACTTGTGGTGTACTATTGTTTAAAAAATAGAACTACAATGCTATTATTTGCAGGAAGTGAATTAACATGCTTAACAATCATGATATAGAATGTACAAGACTAAACCTGAATACTTTAATCAGTAGCTTAACTATATATTTATATACATACGCATGTATTAGTATAGAACTTTTAATACTTTTAATAACTTTTATTATGAGTTTTTAATCATAACTACTTTTTTTTGTTATTTACTCAATCTAAAATGTTACCTATTATTCGTATTTAAATTTCTAAGATATTTCCGTAGTAATAAAAATTATTATTTTTCGATCCAAAATAATCATCGTATAAAAACTTGAAAGTTGTATTGATTAATTATTGTAATATTTTAAACATAACCATTTATGAGTTGGATAAAATTCTAAAATTAAAATTACAAATAATCACTTAAACAATAAACAATATATAATCTAATTTGTATTCACTTGTTTTTTGAGTAAATAAATTGGCATAACGAATTCAATATAAATTACCCTTGTAAAAATGGACCAATCACTTTTATTTGCGTGTACCTACACGTTAAGTTAAATTACGTCTTTATGTAGTATTATATATTTATATACTGCATGTGCCATGTGTAATTGAGATTATAGAAACTGTTTTGATTTAAATAAAATTAATAGTAAACCAAAATCAACTAATTACACATTAATCTCAAAAAAGTATAGTATTGATAAAAATATATTTTAACATTAAATACAAATAAAACATTCGGGCTTGAGAATGTTCATTCAGACTTTTTAGTGTTAAAAAAGTTATTATTTGGTCAAATATTCAGTTTAATATAAAATTATGAACGTTAATAGAATAATAGAATAAAAATGTTTTTAATTTAACTAATAAGAACTATTGAAACTGACTATTTATATTTCAGGTGTCAGATATTATATAAAATGATAAAAATCAGTTTACAATGAAATATATATACATTAGAAATAAATGCAAATGAAAAATAATTATTATTAGAACGAAGGAATGTGCCAAATAGCCAAAATGTTTTTTTAACTACTTAGTTGTTCACTACGACAGTAAGTACCTACTCGACTATATCAGATTTTATCGTAATGCTGTATGTTACATTTAGGTTATAGTATTATACACTAAAAACTATAAGAATTAAGAATACTCATAAGAGTATTGTATTACTATAATTTCTAGTTCGAGTTCAATACTTTTGATTTTTCAAATAATTGACTTTATACCTCCTGAATTAGTATAATGAAACTGTATGCAATAATTAGGTGTGCTATGTATTAATTGTTAATACATTAAGTCTTAAGTCTTTAAGATTCAAATGTTATTGTATATAATATTAAAATGCCAGTGGACAGTGATTATATTTTATAGAAATTAAAAATATGTTTAATTATATTAAAAAAGTAAGTAAATATATAATAAACAGATTAAATCAAACAATGTCGTGTATACGAACTGAACAGATCGTTTTAACAATTTATATATAATAATTAATTATATTATTTATTTATACTAATATTATAATAATATAATATACCTATTAAAAACCTTGGGTGAGAAGGTCAAAAATTGCGTTGTTAACTTCAAAATTATTTCATGTTTTATAATTATTTTACTTTGTCGTGAATTCGAATATTTGGATTGGTAATTGTTTGATAGACTGGTATAATTTATCATGATATAGATAGATTAAACTATTTATTATAAATACTAGAATTTATAATCAATATTTAAATTAAATTCAACAGTACAGTTAGGTAAGACATAAGTAACATAAAGTAAACATCTATGGTATACATTTATAATACAGAAATATGTAGTATAGATAATATATACATATATATATAAAATAAATTCTATGTAGTATGAGTTTCATTGTTTTAGACAAAAAAATAACAAAGTATAGGTATTATACTCTAAATGTAATGTGTTACTAGTTAATGTGTTGTATGTTAGATAGAGTACTGGTAGTCAGTAGAGTTTCATCGAATAACAATTAAAAATATATTTTAATCCAAAATAATGTAATCATTTATAATGAATAAAAGAACATAAGGATTTTAATTAAATCATATGTTATTGTAAAAGTGCATTACGTCGATGTTCAGAGAAAAATAATATACATACATATTTTATAATACATAAGAATGATTAGAAAACGGCAAACGCAACACATTTTGTATAATATTTTCATAATCAAAATGTATTAATTACACGTAACCATCATATTCATGCTACACATGTACAGAATATTATTTACATAATGTTCTCATTTACAAAAAATGTAGGTGTAGGTAAATGTGTACATTTATATAATATTAGTACATTATATATTTATATGCATTCATCACCCTATATTGAATATAAACTTAAACACCAGTCATTTGGTGGAATAAATAAGGGATATTTTCCAAGCCATCTAAGCATGGTTTAACATCTAAACCACAAAATCGAAGTAATTTCTTCATACCCATTTTTCGCTCTTTTCTAAACATCATTATACCTATACATATTTATACATTTGTCTTATACGATTCATAACTCAATAACTAATAACTCTAAAATTGACAACACAACACGGAGACTATTCACCTTATCGTGCCTCTAACACTAAGTCATATCAATCTGGTCACACCTAAATGTTTAAGAAACCAAATAACGATACATAAAACGTTAGTGCACCAATATGCGTTGGACAAGTCCTACGCGTAGCTTCGGGGAGATTAAAGTATTGCCGTCACACATGTGCGTGCGGTGCAAATGTATCATAAATAATAATTATAATTATTAATATTATAATTCATAATATTATATGGCCTCAAAGTGCGGTGATCCTGGTCGTCGGTCAGCCATAGGAACAATATCATCATTATTCATTAATTCATAACGTTGCTCTTTCGCTGCCCGGCACCACCAACGCACAGCCGAGAAATCGTTTCGCCGGTATTGCGTTGGCGCCACTGTTGTCGGTTCGAATCGGCGCGCACAACGGCAAAGAAACCTGCAGTGTGGTCGTTTGACTGATTTTCGCGGATACGTGAAAATACCGATCGTGGTGATAGCGTGGTATGCGGCGGGGGGTGCGTGCACTATCTCTCTGTATCTGGTGTTCTCCTCGTCATTCAAAATTAAATAGGTGCTTCTCGTGTCGTTCGAAATTTGCATATATATTTCGCCGCCTCTGCCGCCACCGCTGCTGTGGGAATCACCGTCCGTGATAAAATTATTATGCTATGACGTTGCTCGTGCGCTGACCGCCCGTATTGAGGACGAATTTTCTCACCGTCTGCTGTAGGTTTCGCATTTTGTCGATTCCGCACGATCTAAATCGAACGCTGTATGATCGGGGAAACCCTCTTATCATCAACATGTGAAAATCCGAAAACCGGCCTTTTCTTCTTACCCTCCCTGACGTCGTGACAACAGCAGTTGCCAGTTAACCACAGGTAAATTCCACGTTTCATCGAACCCCTTCAAACTTTTCGATTTATCTTTCGCTGGATAATAATATTATTTTTACGTTCGATTACTGTCTCGCGCACCGCCAATATTCTTGTTTTTACTACGGTTTTCGTTGTAGGGAAAATGACGGAGTCTTTGGACAGTGGCACCGCCAACACCTTGTCGTCGTTGGACGACAACACGACCAACTCACTGTCCGTAATGGACATGCCCATATTTGTGGACTACCTGAAGAAAACAGTTTCTACCATATTTCACGGTGATAAGTCCGCCTCCTCGTCCATGTTAGACTTAGCATTTGAGGAGCCCAGCAATGTAGAGTGTATCAAAAAATTTCTATCGGATCCAAATACTGCAACTATTTTCGTTCAAAAGAGTGTCTTAAAAGGTTACAATTTTAAATATTATTAATCTGTAGATTTTAGTTTAAGCTAATGTTTTCATTGCTTTTAGATGAAGAAACTGAAAATGGCAGTGAAGGAGATGATGATAAAGATATACCATTATTTTATTTATCTAATGAAGTTATTTTTACTAATCAAAAAATGACAAGGTCTGTAAAACTATTTTTCTTGACTTGAGATTTATATTTTATTATAATTTTCTTGTAACTTTTCCTTATAGTTTGTCTTTTATGAAGAGGGCAACTGTTATAGAAGCTGATAAACCTATTCCAAGTCAATTACGAATTGTTCAATTTAATGATGGGTCACCGTATGAAACATTGCATGCCCTAGTTAGTAAAGCTATAACTCCATATTTCAAAAGTTATGTCAAGGAATCGGGGAGAGCTGATAGGTAGTTGTTTTTAAATTTCTTTTTTGTTTAATTTCAGTTGGTTTTTTAGTTATTTTCAAACTAAATTTTTTTATAAATTATGTATTTAATAGAGATGGTGATAAAATGGCTCCATCAGTAGAAAAAACTATGGTAGAATTAGAAATGGGTTTACTTCATTTACAACAAAACATTGATATTCCTGAAGTGACATTAACAATTAATCCTACTGTATTAGCCATAATTAGTAAATGTGCCGAAGAAAATCGTAAACCTAAAGTATCAGATTTTGGCGCTCTTGTTGAAGATTCCAAATTCCTTAATCAGCTTCAAGCTGGTGTTAATCGTTGGATAAAAGAAATACAAAAGGTAAATTAACATTTTAGTATGCACATTTTATTTTTAATGACATTGAATTTTATTCTTTACTCTAGGTGACTAATTTAGACAGAGATCCATTAAATGGGACAGCTTTGCAAGAAATTAGTTTTTGGTTAAATAAAGAAAGAGCCCTTCACCGTATACAAGAAAAACGTGAAAGTTTAGAAGTGGGCCTTACATTAGAGATTTTAAAACATGGCAAACGTTTTCATGCAACAGTCAGTTTTGATAGTGATACTGGTCTTAAGACTGCTTTAGCAACTGTTAATGATTATAATACTTTGATGAAAGATTTCCCTATTAATGATCTTTTGGCTGCGACAGATTTAAATCGTATCCGTGTTGCTATTGAACATATTTTTATTCATTTACGTAAAATAAGGAGTACAAAGTATCCATTACCTAAATTATTAAAATTAGTTGAAGCTATTTCTAGAGATTTGTTATCAAAGTTATTAAAAGTAAGAATAGTTAAATGTGATTATGATAAACTGATATTTATTTAATAAATGTGCTTTATACATATTTTAGGTATTGGGTACAAGGTTTTTAATGCATATTCCATATGATGAATTTGAAAAAGTTATGTTGCAGTGTTTTAATGTTTTTACTGCATATGATGATGAATTTGATAAGCTTCAAGTTATTTTGAGGTAAATACTTTTTATGTTTGAAATTAAATAAATAATTTAATATTTATTAAAATTTATTAAACTTTAAATGATTTTAGGGATGTAGTGAAAAGAAAACGAGATGAGACATTCAAGGTAGTTTGGCGAATACAACCAGATCACAAAAGGTTGCAAACTAGACTGGAACATATGAGGAAATTTAGGCAGCAACACGAACAATTACAAGCGGTTATTATGAGAGTTTTAAGACCTACAGCCCAACAACCACAAGCTCGTGAAGATCAAGATCAAGGTCCTGTTTCTTTATCACCTGCTCCAGACACAAGTGCTATAGAGGTAATTTACAATAAATTGTTCTAAAATTCAATTTAAATTAATTAAGAATTTTCAATTTTTTTTTTTAAACCGTAAATGATTTATTAGGAAGTGAATTCAGCTTATGAAAACATTAAAGTAGTAGACTGTCTGGATATAAGTCGTGAGGGAGTTGAAGCTTGGGAAGCAGCTGTAGCACGATATGAAGAAAGAATTGACAGGGTTGAAGCAAGAATTACTGCACATCTTAGAGATCAATTAGGAACAGCTCGTAATGCTAACGAGATGTTTCGTATATTTTCTCGATTTAATGCTCTTTTTGTTAGACCGCACATTCGTGGAGCCATACGTGAATATCAAACTCAACTTATTAATAAAGTGAAAGAAGATATTGAAGCTCTACATGATAAGTTCAAAGTAAATAAGTTATTAAATTTTGTACAAATGTTCTTATTTTATATTTTTCTAAATTAATATTTTTAGACTCAGTATCCTCAGAGTAAAGCTTATTTTTTAAGCCATCAACAAGATATACCTCCAATAGCTGGTTCTATTTTATGGGCCAAACTAATTGATAGTCAATTGTCTGCATATCTTCGACGAGTTGAAGATGTTTTGGGTATGGTACAATAGAATATTCATAAAATGTTAGCAAAATATTATATTTCGGTTAATTAGGAAAAGGATGGGAGGATCATTTAGAAGGTCAAAAATTAAAAGCTGATGGTGATAGTTTTCGACTAAAATTAAATACCAAAGATATTTTTGATGATTGGGCTCGAGGGGTCCAACAAAGAAATATGGGTGTATCAGGAAGAATTTTTACCATTGAAAGTACTAGATCTCGAACGGGTCGTGGAAATGTATTGAAACTTAGGGTAAGTACTTTAATTAAACAAATATGTATTTATATTTAATATGCCATTTCTATTAATTAGGTAAACTTTTTACCTGAAATTATTACATTATCTAAAGAAGTGAGACATTTAAAAAATCTTGGATTCCGTGTTCCTTTAGCGATAGTTAACAAAGCTCATCAAGCTAATCAATTATATCCATTTGCTATATCTTTGCGTGAAAGTGTTCGTACATATGAATGTACTTTAGATAAGGTAAGATATCTATTTCTGTTCTTAATATATATTGTTATTTGTTATGCATGTTATTATATATATGTAATATATAAATTTATTATTTTAATTAGCTTATCAATAGGAGTTCTTATTTGAAGGTATTTTGAAATTTATTTTTAATTACTTTTTTAATTGACACAACATTTTTTATATAGATTGAAGATAAAACTAGCATTGTGCCATTAATTGCTGGATTGCATAAGGATACTCAAGTACTTATTGCCGAAGGCATTCAAATGGTATGGGAAAGTTATAAGCTTGATCAATATGTACAAAAATATGCAGAACAAATACTCGCTTTTCAAGAAAAAGTTGAAGATCTTTTAGTAGTAGAAGAGCAGCTTGAACTTGATGTTAAATCTTTAGAAACATGTGCATATTCTGCTAGTACGTTGGCTGATATTCTTTCAAAAATTCAAAGAGCTGTGGATGATTTATCTCTTCGGCAATATTCAAATTTACATATTTGGGTTACACGTCTTGATCAACAGGTCAGTTTTAATTGCTTTGAACTTAATTGATGAATATGTTTATATATATAGTGAAAACTTTTTATAACGAATCTGAAGGGATCAAGAGATTTCTTTTGTTGTAGAGTGTTTTCGTAATAGAGAGGGTTTAAAAAAAAACAAAATTTTAATTATTTATGTATAAATGTATGTAATATTGTATATCTAACACATCATTATATTTACATTATATTATATTTACGTATTATATTAAATTATTATTATTATTATACATATTAAATATAGTATAATTTTTATACTATTACTTTATTTAAAATAGTCTGTCATCTTATTTTGGAATTTTTTATTTTGCCAATATTGTTTTTGTATTTTTCTATGAATTTGTCCTATGTTTTGGGATAACTTTGGATCATCTTCATGATTCATTTTCTTAGCTATCCTTCTGAGGCCTTGAAATCTATAATACTAAGTTGTTGAGCAAAATGTTCAGCTTAAGTTTTCAAAACAAGCCCAGATATAGGTAAATTATTACAATGTTGTTTATGGAACCATGTCAACATGGCCTGTTGACCAACCTGCTAACCTGGTCCAAGTCTTCAAATTTTGATTTTCTTATTTTTTTACAAGAACTTCTGTTTCAGCCTGTAATATTTTATCCTTATTCTTCTAGCAATAGTATATGGGCTGAATCCAAAATGTTTCCCGACATCACTTTTTTTCACCTTTTTCAATTGCACGTATTAGAGGGACTTCTTGATCAACACACAGTGTTTTTCTTTTATTTGCCATAACAAATGTTAGCACACTACTATGATCATGCATGTAATGTTAGACATTTCGTTGATAATAAATTGAACATACCAATTCGATATGGATAGTAACAATATTAAAAATAGATAATGAAAGAATGTAATTGTTCTTGGAACTTTCAGCATTATTGCTGATTATTTTTATAATTTAAATTTGTATTTAGTACGATAACACGTAAGTTATATTATGAAACATAATTTATTGTTTTGTTATTGAGAATGACTAATACGTTATAGAGAATGAATTGACTAATGGGTTATAAAGTAAACCAACCATTATTATGTAATGTTTACATTATATATAGTTTTCCGTTGTAAAGAGTTTGGTTATAAAGAGTTTTCACTATATATATATAAATATATATATATATATATATATATATATATATATATATATATATATATGTTTATAAGTATAGAATATTTTAGGTTTAAGTTACTATTAATTCTAATTTTATTTTCATAGATCGAAAAAAGCTTATCCTCAAGACTTCAAGCCGGTATACAAGCTTGGACTGAAGCATTAGAAGGAAAAAAGAAAGATTTGAGTATGGATACTGATGCACCACCTCAACCAACTAATAAGCTTGGTGGTGATCCTCAAATTAAAGTGCAGATACTTGAAGTCAGGATTACTAATCAAACTATTTACTTATATCCAAATCTGTGCGAAGCACGTGTCCAACTTATGCAACAGTTTTTTGCATGGCAAGCTGTTGTAACATCACAGGTGAGATTACAAAGCTCTAGGTACCAAGTTGGTTTAGATCAGCCAACATCACAGACATATCAAGATCTTTTGGCTAATTTACCATCCGGTGAAACTGTTTTAACTGCTGCTTTTGAAGCTATGGAAAAAAAAATAAATGAGGTAGTTAATAAGTTAAATAATCATAACATTTTAGGGCGTTTTTTTTTTAAAAATGTACATTATTGTAGGCTGAAAAATACATGTCAGAATGGTTAATTTACCAATCTTTATGGGATTTACAAGCAGACAATTTATATAGCCAAATGGGTGAAGATATTAATATTTGGATGACTTATTTAAATGATATTCAGTATGAAATATGAAAAACTTATCAAACAACAATGACTAATTAATTATTATTTTTTAGGAAATCTCGTAAAACATTTGATACTACAGAAACACGAAAAGATCTTGGACCTTTTATTATTGAGTATGGAAAGGTACAAAGTAAAGTTGCTTTGAAGTATGATTCTTGGCATAAAGAAATTTTAAATAAATTTGGAGGTCTACTTGGCAATAGTATGACACAGTTTCATGTTCAAGTGGCTAAAGTAAGTTATAAATTTATTAATAAGACAATTTAGAAAACACATTATTATTATAATTTAATAATTTTAGTCTCGAAATGATATGGAAAAACAATCTATTGAAGCTGCAAGTACGTCTGATGCTGTATCATTCATAACTTATGTTCAATTTTTAAAACGTAGTATGAGAGTGTGGGAGAAACAAGTTGATCTTTACAAAAGAGGTCAAAAAATTTTGGAAAGACAACGTTTTCAATTTCCTACTAATTGGTTAGATTTAGATAATGTTGAAGGAGAGTGGAGTGCGTTTAATGAAATCATCAAACGTAAAGATAAATCAATTCAAACTCAAGTAATAAAAATATATTATTTATTATAATTTGTTAATTAATTAATTTACTATCAACATTTAATTTTTTTAGGTTCAAAGCCTTCAGATGAAGATAATTGCTGAAAATAAAGCTGTAGAAACTAGAACAAATGACTTTCTTTTGGAGTGGGAACAGGGTAAACCAGTAGCAGGAAATACTCAACCTGATGATGCTTTATCCCAACTCCAAGTATTTGAGAATAAATTTACTCGTATTAAAGAAGAAAGAGATAATGTAGCTAAAGCTAAAGAAGCATTAGAACTTAAAGATCCAGCAGGTAAATATACATTTTAACAATTAAGTCAAAATTTTGTTATTAACTCTTTCTTAACACAATACTAATGTATATTTTAGGTAGTGCTTTATCGAGTGCTGAAGATCGTATGATAGTAGTTTTTGAAGAAATGCAAGATCTAAAAGGCGTATGGTCTGAATTATCAAAAATATGGGTACAGATTGATGAAATCCGAGAAAAACCTTGGCTTTCAGTTCAGCCAAGAAAACTTCGTCAACAACTAGATGGTTTGACCAATCAGTTAAAAGAATTACCTGCCCGTTTTAGGCAATATTCTTCTTATGAATATGTTAAAAAACTATTACAAAGTTATGTAAAAGTAAGTTTATCAATTATCATCTGTTTATGTAAGTTGTATTTTTAGTTACTTATATAACAAAATGTAAATTAATAAAATTGAATGGTAGTTTTTAACCACATATGAACTCGGAATGTCTTATTATAATTTGTAATTTCTTCAGAAAATTGTATAAAATATTCCTGTATATCTTTTTTTTCTATAATTATTTATTATTAAAACTTAAAATAAATAATACTTATTTGGTATCTTTTGTAATTAAATTAGTAAGTTTTTTGGTTTTATTTATTATTTTTTTAGGTAAACATGACTGTAATAGAATTGAAATCTGATGCACTGAAAGACCGTCATTGGAAGCAATTGATGAGAAAACTTAGAGTGAATTGGACATTTTCAGATATAACTTTAGGACAAATTTGGGATGTGGATTTACAAGCAAATGAAGCAGTTGTTAAAGATATCATTATGACTGCGCAAGGAGAAATGGCCCTTGAAGAATTTTTAAAACAAGTTAGTTTTAAGTTATTGGTTTTTACTTTTAATAAAATTTGATAATTTTATATTATTTTAAAATCTATGTATGGTTAACATAATTATTTATGTATACAAATTTATGTATTGTTGTATATTGTATATAAATTGTACTAATTATTTTCTGCATTTTTTATTATTTTGTTTGGTAGGTTCGAGACACTTGGCAATCATATTCTTTAGATTTAATTAATTATCAGAATAAGTGTCGTCTTATAAGAGGTTGGGATGAACTTTTTAATACAGTCAAAGAACATATCAATTCTGTAGCAGCTATGAAATTATCACCTTATTACAAAGTAACTTTTATTTTTAAAAATGTATTTAAAAATTTTTTTTTTAAGAATATTTATTAATGTTTTATATATATTATATATTTGTAGGTTTTTGAAGAAGAAGCTTTAACATGGGAAGAAAAACTTAATCGAATTAATACTCTTTTTGATGTTTGGATAGATGTTCAACGTCGTTGGGTATATTTAGAAGGTATTTTCTCAGGAAGTGCTGATATAAAGACTTTGTTACCAGTTGAAACTTCACGTTTTCATAATATTAGGTATTATTCTATTATTGTTATTATTATATCTTATATTAACTGCATTGTATCTTAATTTACAGTTCTGACTTTTTGGGTCTAATGAAAAAAGTTTCTAAGTCAAGAATGGTTATTGATGTTCTTAATATTCAAGGAGTACAGCGGTCTCTTGAAAGATTAGCTGATTTACTAGGTAAAATACAAAAAGCTCTTGGAGAATATTTGGAAAGAGAAAGAATGTCTTTCCCAAGATTTTATTTTGTTGGGGATGAAGATCTTTTAGAAATTATTGGAAACAGTAAAAATATTTCAAGGCTACAAAAACATTTCAAAAAAATGTTTGCTGGTGTAGCTGCTATAATCTTGGATGAAACATCAACAAATATTCTTGGTGTAGCATCTCGTGAAGGAGAGGAAGTTATATTCACTAATCCCATATCGACAACTGATCATCCTAAAATTAATGAATGGTTAACATTGGTTGAAAAAGAAATGTGTTTCACATTGGCTTCGCGTTTGGGTGAAGCTGTAACTAATATCAAACAATTCAAACAAGAAACTATTGATCATGATGCTTTTATGACTTGGTGCGATAACTATCAAGCTCAAATTGTGGTTTTGTCTGCTCAAATTTTATGGAGTGAAGACATAGAAACAGCTCTGCATCAAATTCAAGTTCAGTGTGAACATGAAAATGACTCAGCCCCCAAATTAACTCCTTTAGAAAATGTACTGGCTCAAGTTGAAACATCGTTAAACTTTTTAGCTGATTCTGTTTTACAAGAACAACCACCATTAAGAAGAAAGAAACTTGAGTATTTAGTATGTTTATACTATGTCATAGTTAATATAAAATACATTTTTGATTTTTTTTTTTTTTTTAGATTAATGAATATGTCCATAAACGTATGATCACTAGAAGGCTGATTTCTAGGAAAGTATCAAGTCCTCGTTCATTTGAATGGCTTTGTGAAATGCGCTTTTATTTAGATTGTAATCAGACTGATGTATTGAAACAGCTTACAATACAAATGGCTAATGCTAATTTTTACTATGGATTTGAATATCTTGGTGTACAAGATAGATTAGTTCAAACTCCATTAACTGATCGTTGTTATTTAACTATGACTCAAGCATTAGAATCTAGACTAGGAGGATCACCATTTGGTAAGTTGAATTACATTATTTTTTTTAAAAATAATTTTGACTCAATTTGTTGTTTTTAGGACCGGCTGGTACTGGTAAGACTGAGTCTGTTAAAGCTCTTGGTCATCAGTTAGGACGTTTTGTTTTGGTATTCAACTGCGATGAAACATTTGATTTCCAAGCTATGGGACGTATATTTGTTGGTCTTTGTCAAGTTGGAGCATGGGGATGTTTTGATGAATTTAATAGATTAGAAGAAAGAATGTTATCTGCTGTTTCTCAACAAATACAAACTATTCAAGAAGCACTTAAGTCTCAAATGGATTCTAAGAAAACTAGTAAGTACTATTGATGAATTTAGTAAGAAGGTTCTGTATAATTTGTATTGTTATAGTCTTTTGGCTATACAAATAAATAAAATAAGTTACTTCCTTTTCTATATATAGTTATGTATATTAATTAAAAATATTACTTTTTTATTAATAGTTTTAATTTTTTAAACATTTGTTATCCTAAAGTTTTCTTAGTTTTTAAATAATGTTATTGTATATTTTTTAATTAAAAATTGAATACTAAGTATATTGATTTATATTTTGTAGATATCACTGTAGAACTTGTAGGAAAACAAGTCCGAGTATCAACCGACATGGCAATATTTATAACTATGAATCCTGGTTATGCTGGACGTTCTAATCTTCCAGACAATCTTAAAAAGTTATTCCGATCATTAGCAATGACTAAACCTGATCGACAACTTATAGCTGAAGTTATGTTGTTTTCTCAAGGTTTTCGTACGGCTGAAAAACTTGCTTGCAAAATTGTTCCATTTTTCAAGTAAATTAACTTTTATTCAAAAAAGTCAATATAACTAAATTTTGATATATTTTAGATTATGTGACGAACAACTTTCTAACCAATCTCACTATGATTTTGGATTAAGAGCATTAAAATCTGTTTTGGTATCTGCTGGAAATGTTAAAAGAGATCGTATACAACATATTAAAGGTATCAGTGCTACAACTGAAAGGCATAGTTTGAATGAAGCTGAAATAGCAGAAAATTTACCTGAGCAAGAAGTAAAATTTGATTCATATTAATATTTTATTGTTTATCAAAAATAAGAGGTTTTAATTTTAATTTTAATTTTTGCATTTATAGATATTGATTCAGTCTGTATGTGAAACAATGGTACCTAAACTTGTTGCTGAAGACATCCCACTTTTGTTTTCATTGTTAAATGATGTTTTTCCACAAGTTCAGTATAAACGTGCCCAAATGACAGGTAAATAATTAAGTAAATTACTAATAAAATTGTACTAATTACTAATAAAACGGAAAAAATAGTATAATATTTAAATATTTTAGAATTGAAAGAACAAATAAGAAAAGTATGCCAAGAAGAATACTATGTTTGTGGAGAAGATGATGAACTTGGGGGTCCTTGGATGGAAAAGGTAATGTATTTAAATTGCATTATAGTTCTCTTTACACTAATTTTTTTTTTTTTATTAAATACATTTTATTAACATGCTTACATAGTGTTATATGGGGGAAACTTGGATACAAAAGGTATTTTTTTAAATTGGTTTATTTTATTATTATAGATTTTTATTTATTTACTGTAGTTAGTAAAATTGTATAATATAATTTTTTATTTAGGTTCTACAATTATATCAAATTTGTGAATTAAATCATGGTTTAATGATGGTTGGTCCAAGTGGATCAGGAAAATCTAGTGCATGGAAGGTTTTATTAAAAGCTCTTGAAAGAATGGATGGAATGGAAGGTCAAGCTCATGTAATCGATCCAAAAGCTATATCTAAAGAAGCTTTATATGGTGCTTTAGACCCTAACACCAGAGAGTGGACTGATGGTTTATTTACTCATATTTTAAGGTATGCATAGTTATAGATAATGGTTTTAAGTTGAACATATTGTATTATGAAGTTAAATATTTTAGGAAAATTGTCGACAATGTTCGTGGAGAAATAAATAAAAGACAATGGATTATTTTTGATGGTGATGTTGATCCAGAATGGGTAGAAAATTTAAACTCTGTTTTAGATGACAACAAATTGTTGACTTTGCCAAATGGAGAACGTCTATCACTTCCACCTAATGTTCGAATTATGTTTGAGGTAAATGCTCCTCTAAATTTATATGATTTTAATAATAATCAAAATAAGTTGTATAACATACTTTTATTAATAACATTTTTCTCTATAATTATTTTTAGGTACAAGATTTAAAATATGCTACTCTTGCAACTGTATCTCGTTGTGGTATGATTTGGTTTAGTGAGGATGTTTTGACTACTGAAATGATATTTGAAAATTATTTGAGCCGGTTAAGAAGTATACCTATCGATGAAGGTGATGAAGATTCAATTTCTCTTATTCCTCAACCAGTGTCTGCAACATCAGGAACTGTTGATCAATTTATCTCTCCATCATTACAAGTACTAATTGTACTTGCTGTTTAAAATCTCATGTTTCAATGGATTTTTTTTTCTTTTTGTTTGTATAGCTTCAATTAGATATTGTTACAATGTTACAACCACATTTGTCATCAGATGGATTAGTTGTCCGATGTTTAGAGTATGCTATAAAGCAAGAACATATTATGGATTTCACTCGATTAAGAGCACTTGGATCACTATTTTCTATGATTAATCAAAGCATAAGGTAAGTCATTTTTGAATAACATTAATTAAATTGTAATTTTTTTATTTATATTCAGAATTATAATGTATTTTTTTTTTTAGAAATGTTCTTCAATATAATAGAACTCATTCAGATTTTCCACTTCCACAAGACCAATTGGAACAGTATATTCCAAAATGTTTAGTTTATGCTCTGTTGTGGAGTTTTGCCGGTGATGCAAAACTAAAAGTGCGTTCTGATATTGGTGAATTTATTAGATCTGTGACAACTGTAGCTTTGCCTCCCATGACTGAAAATATTATTGATTATGAAGTATGTACTTGCATTAAGTTGAATTGATACTAGTTAAATTATATTTTTCAAAAATCTATTTAAGAATATTAATTTTTAATTATTCAATATTTACTTACAATTTAATTAGATTAATGTCCATGGAGATTGGGTTCCATGGTCAAGTAGAGTTCCACAAGTAGAAGTTGAAACTCACAAGGTTGCATCACCTGATGTAGTTGTTCCTACCTTAGATACTGTTCGACATGAAACATTGCTTTATACCTGGCTTGCTGAGCATAAACCTTTAGGTAAGTTAACTACTATTTATTAAAATGTATACATTAAACTAAAATCATAATTAATAACAATTTAAAATTTAATAGTCTTATGTGGACCTCCTGGCTCTGGTAAAACAATGACATTATTTTCTGCTTTAAGAGCTCTTCCTGATATGGAAGTTGTTGGCTTAAACTTTTCATCAGCGACCACACCAGAACTATTATTAAAAACTTTTGATCATTATTGTGAATACCGCAAAACACCAAATGGAATTGTTCTATCTCCTGTTCAAGTAAAAAGCAATTGCTATTAGTCAATAATATTTTATTAATATCTCATTTTTTTAATATGTGAAGTTGGGTAAATGGTTGGTATTATTCTGTGATGAAATTAATTTACCTGATATGGACAATTATGGTACCCAAAGAGTTATTTCATTCTTGCGACAATTAGTAGAACGGCGAGGATTTTATAAGTAATTACATTTTATATCTTATTTTGTAATTTATTAAAATCTTAAAGTCTAATAGTTAATAGCCATTAATGTTAAAATGATTTAAAAAATATAATAAGTATGATTATAATTTTATGATACTAGACCAACAGGAGATCAAGCTTGGGTATCTTTGGAGAGAATACAATTTGTTGGAGCATGTAATCCACCTACTGATCCTGGCAGAAAACCTTTGTCTCATAGATTTTTACGTCATGTCCCAGTAATATATGTTGATTATCCTGGTGAAACTTCTTTAAAACAAGTAAAGCATAAATTTTGTTTTTCAATGTACACTTATATTAAATAAAATATTTTTTTAGATTTATGGAACCTTCAGCAGAGCAATGTTGCGATTAATTCCTACTCTTCGTGGTTATGCAGAGCCTTTAACAAATGCAATGGTCGAATTTTACTTAGCATCTCAAGATCGTTTTACTCAAGATATGCAACCACATTATGTTTATTCTCCTAGGGAGATGACTCGTTGGGTTAGAGGAATTTGTGAAGCCATCAGGTAATTATTATTTTTAAAACTATTTTAATTTTAAATGTATAAATTAAAACTATATTCAAGTTGCACGAATAATAATTTATTATTTAATGCATGATTTAAGACCATTGGAAACTTTGAGTGTTGATGGCTTAGTACGTCTTTGGGCACACGAAGCATTACGCCTCTTCCAAGATCGTTTAGTAGATGATATAGAACGTCAATGGACAAATGAAAATATAAATATAGTGGCCATGAAACATTTCCCTGGAATTAACAAAGAAGAAGCTCTTCAAAGACCTATTCTTTATAGTAATTGGTTACACAAAGATTATGTACCAGTTGAAAGGAAACAATTACGTGATTATGTAGCTGCAAGATTAAAGGTATTACAATTTTTCTATGTATTTTATTTGTGTCTTGTTAAAAATAGATGTATAATGTATATATATATTTAGGTTTTCTATGAAGAAGAATTAGATGTTAAAATTGTACTCTTTGATGAAGTATTGGACCATGTATTAAGGATAGACAGAATATTCAGACAGCCTCAAGGTCATTTGTTATTAATTGGTGTCTCAGGTGCAGGCAAAACAACATTGTCACGATTTGTGGCATTTATGAATGGTCTTTCAGTATTTCAAATAAGAGTAAGTAAATTTTATCATTGAAACAGTATTATTTGTTTTTTATTTTTTTCAATTATTTCTAAAAAAAAGAATACTTATATTTGATGTATATATAAATTAAGTAATAATAATTAAAAATTTTAAAAATGTTTGGTATCACTATATTATTAATCAATTCAAAATGTTCAGAAAAATTTATAAAATTGTAATTTTTAAAACTTATTCTGATTTAAATATTTATTATATTTTTATTTTTTAAGGTTCATAACAAGTATACTAGTGAAGATTTTGATGAGGATTTGAGGGCAGTGTTAAGAAGATCTGGGTGTAAGAATGAAAAAATTACCTTTATACTTGATGAATCAAATGTATTAGAATCTGGTTTTCTTGAACGTATGAATACTTTGCTGGCCAATGGAGAAGTTCCTGGATTATTTGAAGGTATATTGTGATATAAATATTCTTATATATTAATTTAGTAGATTTTAATTCTATATTATAATTTATTGATTTTAGGAGATGAATATACCACATTAATGACTCAGTGTAAAGAGGGAAGTCAAAGAGAAGGTCTGATGTTAGATTCTAATGAAGAACTTTATAAATGGTTCACTGGCCAAGTAATGAGGAATTTACATGTTGTTTTCACCATGAATCCTAGTTCAGAAGGATTAAAAGACAGAGCTGCTACTTCTCCTGCTCTTTTTAACAGATGTGTTCTTAATTGGTTTGGAGATTGGTCAGATACAGCATTATTCCAAGTAAATATTTTCAAATCAACATTAAACTCAATTGTTAAATTGTTAATTTATATTTTATAGGTTGGACAAGAATTTACTAGATCTGTTGATTTGGATGGACCACCTATGTGGAGAGCTCCCGATTTTTTCCCATCAGCTTGTTCTTTAGTGCCTAGTATTCCTGATTACCGTACTGCTGTTGTTAATGCTTTTGTTTACGTACATCAAACATTACACAAAGCTAATAGCCGACTTATCAAAAGAGGCTCCCGAACTATGGCAATCACTCCTAGGCATTATTTAGATTTTATTAACCATTTTGTAAAATTACATAAAGAGAAGAGAGCTGAACTTGAAGAACAGCAACTCCATTTAAATGTGGGTCTATCTAAAATAGCTGAAACTGTTGAGCAGGTGGAAGAAATGCAAAAATCATTAGCAGTTAAATCTATAGAATTGAATGCAAAAAATGAAGCAGCCAATGCAAAATTACAGCAGATGTTTAAAGAACAGCATGAAGCTGAAAAACGGAAAGTTCAATCGCAAGAAATACAAGCACAGATTAAAGCTCAACAAGTATTAATATCAGAAAAACGAGAACATGTTATGGCTGATCTTGCTCATGTTGAGCCTGCTGTTATGGATGCTCAGCAAGGTATAATATGAAATTTAAGATTAAAAGTCATTGTTAAAATGTTGGGGTTTTTTTACTTTTTAGCTGTAAAGGAAATTAAGAAACAACAATTGGTTGAGGTACGATCAATGGCTAACCCTCCTGCAGTTGTTAAGTTGGCACTGGAATCTATCTGCTTGTTACTTGGTGAAAATGCATCAGATTGGAAAGCTATTAGAGCTGTTGTTATGAGAGAAAATTTCATTAATTCCATCGTCAATAATTTTAGTACAGAGAATATTTCGTAAGTTAGAAATAATTAAAATTTCAAATCAAAATTGCGTTAATTATTTAGCATTATTTTTATAGTGATGACGTTCGTGAAAAGATGCATAGCAGATACTTAGATAATCCTGATTACACTTTTGAAAAAGTGAATCGTGCCAGTATGGCTTGTGGTCCTATGGTTAAATGGGCTATTGCACAAGTATAGTTTCATTATAATATTTATAACTTTCATGACTTCCTAACAATAATGAGTTTAATAGGTTAGTTATGCTGACGTATTGAAAAAAGTAGAACCATTAAGAGATGAATTGAAATCTCTTGAAAACCAAGCCTCAGAAAATAAAGTTAAAAATGAAGAAACTACTGCACTTATTTCTCAATTAGAACAAACTATTACTGAATATCAGGAAGAATATGCACAGCTCATTTCACAAGCTCAAGCAATTAAATCAGATTTAGAAAATGTTCAGAGCAAAGTATGTTTTTTTTTTTTTTTTTTTAATGGAAGTAATCAACAAATTTTATTTTTAGGTTGATCGATCTATTGCTTTATTGAAATCTTTAGTAATAGAAAGAGAAAGGTGGGAAAGTACTAGAGATACATTCAGATCTCAAATGGCTACGATTATTGGAGATGTTCTTTTATCATCTGCTTATTTAGCTTATGCTGGTTACTTTGATCAACATGTTAGTATTTTTTACATATTTGTGATATTTAGTTCAAATTAATTTTGATTTATGCTTTATAACAGTACCGTCAAAATTTGTTTACTACCTGGTGCCAACATTTGTATTTAGCTGGAATACAGTATAGATCTGATATAGCATTAACTGAATACTTATCAAATCCTGACGAAAGACTTCGTTGGCATGCTAATTCATTACCTACAGATGATTTGTGTACAGAAAATGCTATTATGTTGAAGGTAAATATTGTATTTATTCATTAATATTGTGTAGTACTTAATATTTTACTTTTTAAATTTAGCGTTACAATAGATATCCGTTAATAATTGATCCATCAGGACAAGCAACTGAGTTTATCCTTAAAGAATATGCAGATGCTAAAATTACAAAAACAAGTTTCTTAGATGATTCCTTTAGAAAGAACCTTGAATCTGCTTTGCGTTTTGGAAATCCATTGCTTGTTCAAGTAAGTTTTTTATAATGTAATTGTTAAATGTTGTTATCGGATATGATTCATATAAACTGAGTGATTCGTTAGTTCTTAATGATCTAAAAAGTTTGTTCTTAAATTATATAAATAGTATGCCAACCAAAAACAAAAAATTTAAAATGGTTATTAGAAATATTTCATTTAAAATGAAATGTATTATAAATCATATCATTGGTTTATTTTTAGTTATAATTTTATAAACATTATAGGATGTAGAAAACTATGATCCAATTTTAAATCCTGTATTAAATCGAGAACTTCGTCGTACTGGAGGTCGTGTTTTAATAACATTGGGAGACCAAGATATTGATTTATCACCAAAATTTGTGATATTTTTATCTACACGTGATCCAACTGTAGAATTCTCACCAGACATATGTTCTAGAGTAATGTTTGTTAACTTTACTGTAACTAGATCATCATTACAAAGTCAATGTTTAGATCGTGTATTAAAAGCTGAAAGGCCTGATATTGATACTAAACGATCGGACTTGCTTAAACTTCAAGGTATGTTGGTGGTTTTTAATAAATTTAATTATTTAATAAGTACAATAATTATCAATCAAAATGTATTTTAGGTGAATTTCATCTTCGATTAAGACAGTTGGAAAAGTCATTATTGCAAGCATTAAACGAAGCCAAAGGTAAAATATTGGATAATGATTCTGTGATAACAACATTAGAAAGGCTTAAACAAGAAGCAGCTGATATCAGTAAAAAAGTGGAAGAAACCGATAAAGTTATTGCAGAAATTGAAACAGTTTCACAACAGTACAAGCCTTTAGCTCAAGCTTGTAGTAATATGTATTTTACCATGGACAGTTTAAATCAAGTCCACTTCCTTTATCAATATTCGTTAAAATTCTTTTTGGATATATTCAGTTCAGTATTATTGTCCAATCCTAGATTGGCATCTGTCACTGATCATACATCTCGATTGGACATAGTTACAAAAGATTTATTCACGGTAAGAATTGAATAAAAAAATTATTGTTTTGTTAACATAATAAATTATATAAAATATATTATGTTTAGGTATGCTATGAAAGAGTAGCCAGAGGAATGTTGCATAATGATAGATTGACATTAGCAATATTATTGTGTCGAATAAGTTTAAAAGGGTCACCATTTGGTAATTTATTAGATTCAGAGTTTCAATTTTTCCTTCGAGGTAAAGAAGGAGTTCTAAGTTCCAACAACTCGTCAGGGCAAGGGTCTCTTAGTAGTTTGAATCAAGAACAAATTGAAGCTATGATTAGGCTATCCCATAGAATATCAGCATTTAAAAATTTATCAGAACGAGTTGAAGAGATGCCAGAATTTGGACCATGGCTTGCACAGAATACACCTGAACAATGTGTGCCTAAGTTGTGGGATGAACAAACTCCATTTAGTCCTGTAGCTACAGCCATGTATCAACTTCTTGCTATCCAGGTATGTAGTACATAATGTGATGTTTATTTTTATTATTATATAATTGTGGTAATTGTATATTTTTTAAATTAGGCATTTAGACCAGATAGAGTCATAGCATCAGCAAATCTGTTTGTTGAAGCAACTCTAGGTACGCAATTAACCTCTTCAGCAGAACGTGAACCAGACTTGGCAACAATTGTTTTGAATGAATTGGATTGTAGTGTTCCAGCACTTTTGTGCTCAGCTCCTGGATATGATGCATCTGGTCGAGTTGATGATCTTGCTACTCAGCATAACCAACTGTTATCATCTGTAGCTATTGGTTCTGCTGAAGGTTTCCGTCAAGCTACTGATGCCATAAATTCAGCTGTTCGCCTTGGACGGTATTTATTATATAATATATATTAATTTTTTTTACCTTAACATTCTTTTCGAATCATTTTAGGTGGGTACTATTAAAAAATGTTCATCTAGCACCTCAATGGTTAGTGCAGCTTGAAAAAAAATTACATAGTCTTCAACCACACACAAACTTCAGACTATTTTTAACCATGGAAATAAATTCTGGTGTACCGGTGAATTTATTGAGAGCTGGTCGTATATTTGTGTTTGAACCACCACCAGGTGTTAAAGCTAATTTGTTACGAACATTCAATACTGTAAGCATGGAAAAACTGAAATATAGTCATTAAAAAATTTTATATAAATAATATTTTTAGATTCCGGCATCACGCATGATGAAAGTACCTAATGAAAGAGCCAGATTATACTTTTTACTAGCATGGTTCCATGCTATTGTTCAAGAACGTCTTCGCTATACTCCACTTGGTTGGGCCAAACATTATGAATTCAATGAATCTGATCTTAGAGTTGCTTGTGATACTTTAGATACATGGATTGAAACAACAGCAAAAGTAAGAGTTTTATTTCACTAAATAGTTATTTTTTCAATAGGTAATTACATTTGTATTAATTAATTCAACTTTTAGAGCCGTACAAATTTACCACCTGAGAAAATTCCTTGGGATGCAATAGTTACATTATTATCACAGTGTATTTATGGTGGTAAAATTGATAATGATTATGATCAAAGGCTATTGACATCATTCTTAAGCAAATTATTCACAGCACGTAGTTTTGAAACAGGATTTGCATTAGTTGCCAATGTTGATGGTGTTGGAGGAGATAATAGGTATAAAATGATTGTACATTTTGTTTTTTTCTTTTCTTTTACTAAAATATTTAATAAAAATCTAATTTAATTTCAGACATATTACAATGCCAAATGGCTCAAGGAGAGATCACTTTTTACATTGGATTGAAAATTTGTCAGATAGACAATCACCTTCATGGTTAGGATTGCCTAATAATGCTGAGAAAGTACTTTTGACAACGAGAGGTATTAAAAATTAGGAAATTAAAAATTGTAATTTTTAATTCATTTATATGTATAAATTAAAAATAGGTACTGATTTGGTGAGTAAATTATTAAAAATGCAACAACTCGAAGATGAAGATGAGCTTGCTTATGTCACTGAACAAGGTGTTAAAGATGGAGGACCAGATTCTAGTGTTGGACTACCAACCTCTGATGGTCGTCCAACTTGGATGAGAACATTGCATAATTCAGCAACTACATGGTTACAACTTTTACCTCAATCACTACAGACATTAAAACGTACTGTAGAAAATATCAAAGATCCACTTTATCGATACTTTGAGAGAGAAGTGAATTTTGGTTCAAAACTATTGCAAGAAGTTATACATGATTTAAATGAAGTAGTAGCTATATGTCAAGTATGTTAAATTTTATCTCATAATGGATATTTACATTTTATTATTTTGTTTAAAATATGTTTTGATTTGTTTTTTTTTTTTTAAGGGAGAAAAGAAACAAACTAATTATCATAGAAGTTTATTGAGTGATTTAGTCAAAGGAAAACTGCCTACTGGATGGCGTCGATACACAGTACCTATTGGCTGTACAGTAATTCAGTGGGTATCAGATTTTAGTCAACGTGTAAAACAACTACAACAAGTGTCACAACTTGTTTCCCAACGAGGTGCTAATCAAATTAAAGTAAGTTATTAATGTATAAGTAATTGAGTATTATATTTTTTGTATAATAATGTTTTAATTTTTTTTTTTGCAGTCATTCCCGGTTTGGCTTGGAGGGCTTTTAAATCCTGAAGCTTATATTACTGCTACTAGACAATGTATTGCGCAAGCTAATTCTTGGTCCTTAGAAGAATTGATACTAGAAGTAACTATTACTGATGCATTAGAATATGATTCAGTGCAACAGGACGAGTGTAGCTTTGGTGTTATTGGTAAGATATTATTACTTCTATAATACCTAAAATGTCTAATTATAATTTATGATTTAAGGGTTAAAACTACAGGGTGCCCAGTGTCGTAATAATCAGTTGTTGTTAACTTCATCTATAATGACTGATTTACCTGTAACATTGTTACGATGGACACAGTAAGTAGTTATTTTGTTATTTTGTGTATTTTTGAAATTATATTTTATTTTGTTTTTTATAAACATTTTCAGTGTATCTGCTGAAGAACATTTAAGGCCTAATAAACTTTCTCTACCAGTATATTTGAATTCCACCCGTTCTGAATTGTTATTCACTGTAGAATTAGATGTAGCTCCTGGACAAGATCATCATACATTCTATGAAAGGGGAGTTGCATTGTTAACATCCGCAGCTTTAAATTAGGTAAAACAATATATATTGATGTGATAATTAATATATATTTATTATTTATATGTATACATATATACATTTTATATATATTTTAAATATATATTTTAATAATCTATTGTGGTCCAAAGCAAGGTGCCATTTAATTTATTATATTATACCCAAAAACAAATTTTTCTTATAGCTGTGAATGCATATTTATGTAATAACTAAACCTATTTTATAACATATTTAATTTTATATTTTATATTAATAAATCAACTTTTATAATCAATTTAAATGATAATTTTATAAGTGCAACGATATTTAATCTTCTATATTAATTATATTTTGATAATCGCTCAGTTTATGATTAGTAATTATTATTATTTGTCTATTATCATGTTTGAGTAATCTCTGTTATTAGCCGTACAGGTTTAATTTGAATGCAAGTTACTTATATTAATTTATTATCATATATTTTGATGTACTGTAAATGTTTTATTTATTGCTATTTTTTTAATGTACATATAAAATGTTAAGAGCTTCATATTAAAAAAGAAATGTTTACTAATATGATTATTTTGTATTTTTATCAATATTAAATATCATAGTCCTTAAGGAACTTAATTACACCAATGTCCTAAAGTTTATAAATGCATGTGTCATGTTTTTACAAAAGATAAAAAAAGATGATTGATAATGACTTAACTATGATTTATATATATAATATGCATATCAAGTATACTTTGCATACTTTCTGTAGGGACTAAACGCAAATATGCTTATACATTAGTTAGCCATAAAAAAATGTTATGGTGTAACCAATAATTTTGAATAAAAAAATTTTAAATGTATTATAAAAATTATTCTTTACCCTTCTTTAAATTATTATTTTTATGTATTGTGTTAGTAGTAATTGATTCTTAATTTATTTTTAGCAAATTATAATTCACTGCAACATAAACAGTATTTTAGAAATTTTATATATTGTTTTTACACATAATACATATAACATAAAACAAAAGACAACATAAGTGTCAAATTGAATAGTATTCAATATTATACAACATCAAAGTAGTATTAGTTGAAAACATATCTTGATTCTATTAAGTTTTTGCAATTCTGTGTCCACTAAATGATGTAACTTCTATTCCTTGTTCATTTATAGTCTTGAATTTTTTTTGATTCCCATTCAAATATATAGCTACCTGATCTCCAACTTCGATTTCCAGAAGTATGGTGGCTGAACCACCACCTGGTTCAGTGGCTAAAATAGGAGACCATTGTTTATTGTTGTTTGATTTTTTTTGCAACACCATCCTGTTTTGAAGTTTTATTAACTTTTATTATTTAAATTATATTTTTAATGTTAATAAATGTTACCTGGTATTTTCTTCGGTGGAGCCTGAAAATGAAAATTGATAAAGGCCAGAACAAACACATGTGAATACCCCAACCTCTCGGTCCCATGTTACTGCCAGATTAACAAGATTATTTTTATATGCTACTAAACCTGTTGAATGTACTATTCCACTTCCAGTTGTTGAAAATGCAATTGGTCCTAAACAGTCAATATTATTTTTTCCGGACTGCCGTGGTGGTAATGGTGTGACAGCAAGGCCAATTGTCCAGAACAGAGCACTCAATCCTAGCAAAATAATCTTATACATTTTGTCGGTAAAGAGTACAGATCCAACTAAATTATATTATTCTATTATAAATATGGCTTGAAAACTACGAGTAACACCTACTAAACCTTGTCAAGGTTATTTGAATTGTTTATGAGTATTCATTATTTACTATTAGCATACACAAAACACTGATATTGTTAGTATATAATGTTTTTTTACTACTGAATCTTATTATAATGTACCACGTTTACTATTTCGAATTAAGTAGACCTTTGTTCAACCCATAAAGATAAAATATTTTTGAATTTATTTAAATCATTTATGAAAAAGTAATTTTAATTATTATCATATAAAACTAATTAAACTTTAAACAATTACATGATTTAAGTCTTATCAATTGGTGTATTTTTTTATCTTTGAACTTTTTGTGAGTTTTTGTGCAATGAGAGTTATAAAAAAAAAACATTTTTTCAATAAATTCTTAATTGCGTCAAAGTCGTAAATATGTTTTTATTAATATAATAGTTGTACGGATATTAGATATATAAATATAAATAAATAAACTTTATATCATCAGAATATACTTAAGTTTTAATGTAGAATTACCTCGTTAAATAAAATATGTTTCTGGTTATATTTAATACTAATCAAACTTATGGATTATAATTGTATAAACATTAAAATGGCTACTTGCAGCCCAAATTCAAATGGCCTGATTGTGTACTAATATACACAGTGGTTCTCAAATAATTTATTAAAATAAAAATGTATGGGTGTGTAGTGAATATTTGAGTTATCACTAGTATTTTCTATTGACATAAATTTCAAAAACTGAAGTAAAATGTTGTAAATAAAATTTAAAATAGAAGTAAAATATTTTTGATGCTATCGTCAATTATTAATAAAAAATATTATTTTCCCGTTTTTAATTTGATGTCCCATCGTTTCGTCAACTCTATGGGATGCCAAAATGTCCCGTTTTTCATAAAATTACCCATACAATAAAATATAATATCACTTTTTTGTATTGAGATAGTAAAATGGCATATTTTATTATTCACCTATTATTATTTTTCTATTTTTAATTTTTTTAAACAATGAATTATTATCACTATGAGTTTCTTATCTCTGTTTTATATGTCTGGACCATTTAAGTCTTTGTCTTTTCACATAACGTTATTATGAATATTTTTGTAATTTCCCATAACTCTTTATATTTTCTTCTTCCCTAGCAATTAGTTTCAACATTATAACAAGTCCACATAATGTTGTTATTACTTTATTTTTATAGGTCCTTAGTTTTTATTCAACTTGTGTCATAGGCCATACTTCACATCCGTATGTAATTGTAGGTCTTATAAAAGTATACTATCACCGTGTAGAAGCATATTTTTGTGTCTCTAGGAAAGATCTTTGATTATAGTATTTCATCAGAGCGAAATATGCCCTTTCACCGTTATTGATGCGATTACAGATTCAATACTTCAATCATTATTTCCAGTGATTGTTGCACCAAGGTACTTAAAATATTGGTTGTTTTCAAACACGTAGTTTTAAATTGCATGATTTTCATCTTCGCTAGTCGCTGTTTCCATAGCTTTGGTCTTTTCTTAATTTATCACTAGATCAATTTTTTTTTGTTTCGTATATCAATGATGTATAATCAATGTTGTGTTTTAAGATTATGTTAGATATCCAAATTTTAATATAAAATAATTAAATTTTAATCAATTTTAGCTTTGAAAACGTATGCTCTACGTTAGCCGATGCAATTGGTATGGTGAGCAAGATTCTAATTGGCACTTCTATATAAAGACATGAGTTATTAACCTTTTTTAAAAATTATAATGCTTGCAGAGATGTTTTCATTTATTTTAGGTCAAAAAATATGTTTTTTATGTTACATTTGTATATATTTATATATGTTACCAGCAATATGGATAATCCGGTGTTTTTCAAAATGCCTAGGTATTATATAAAATGCCAAAAATAACTCGGCAATATAAATATTACGAGCTTTGCTTAGGTATTATGTATAATGCCAATCTTGGAGTAGGCAATATGAAGAAACCAAACAAAATTGTCGATTATCATAAATGTGCGTTCACGATTTAACGCGATAAAGATTAATATTCTTTTACTACAGCAACAATAATTCTGAGATATAATATTGAACGTACTAATTATTTTATTACAATACCGTAATTGTGTCAAGTGTCAAAATAAAAAGTGTATTTTCCTTAAAAATAACATTTTGTACACTTCAAAATGTCACTTTTTTACAACATGTTTTAATAAGTTAATTTAATTATTTTGATTATTTTGACTACTGTTTTGATGTTACATATTTTATATTTTATATTTTATTTTTACTAGTTATTTTATTTTGTTCTACTATTTGAGTTATTGATAAGCTGAAAAAATGTCATATGCATAAATAAATAAGTAAATATAGTAGAACCTCATTAATCCGGACTAATTGGGGCTCTAGGTTGTCTGAATGAACGAAAGTCCAGATTAAATGAAATAACCAAAAATCGTAAATTATAAATTTAAAAAAAATGTATTGGATATTTTATTATACAAGTTTCAATCTACTCGTAATATATATGTATGTCTAACAATATTAAACCTAAAAATAGTACATAAATGTATTATAATCATTACATACATAATACAGTACATATTAAGGCTTACCTTAATTTTTTACACTTGAAACGCTTACTGGTTTAAAAAAACTGCTAATCTTTGGTTGTCTTCATTTCACAGTGATTTATTTAATGATTAACTCGCGAAAATGCCTTAGATACTCATAATACGCAGATATGTTTTCATAGTTGTTATCTTCCACGTATTTTATGACAATGTTTAGATAGTTTAGATAAACTAGCGTAATTTACGTATTATAAACGGCTGTCCGGATTAATGAGGTTCTACTATTGTAGTTAAAAGTAAAATATTTATATAATAATAGATAAAAATTAAATATTGTCTGTAATATGAGTAATGTGTATAATAATTATAAGAATCTTAATGTAATATAACATATAATAAAATGTTTTGTACTTTGCTTAAAAAAAAAAATGGCAATTTGCATAATACCTAGGCATTTTGCAAAATATCTGAAATATCCATATTGCCGGTAACATATATATGAAGCTTGGCGAGGCAAAGTGATCTAAGTGCCAAAATTTTAGTTTTGAGCAAATCAATAAAAACTGTCCAATTTTTACATGCGTGGACATACAGATAGCTTCATCTATAATTGCTTTTACCTATAATTTATAGATAGTTTGGAGATAGATCTCTTTACACAGTATTAGCGTAGTGGGCACATTGATCATTTTGGTGTAAAAAAAAGTATTTTTCAATTTTTGGCACTTAGATCACTTTGTCTCGCCACGCCTCATATATATATATATATATATTCTATATATTTAACTTATACTGGCTCATATACTTAATAAGATTATTTTCTTGAGATTTAATTCATATGAAAATAGTTGTAGAAGAAAGTATACAAAATTAATATAAGAAACTTGATATTTTCTGAAGCCGTTGATTCGTTTCACATAGTAATAAATTATCTGTGTCTGCTCCTTGTTTGACATGTAGTTAACCTATAATGTTTTTGTATATTGTGTTTAAAATATATATATATATATATATATATAAACGAATATCTCTTAAAGTGAAAAAACAAGTAAATACAGTACATCGAGTAAAGTGTTATTACAGTTATTATTATGACAAGGGCGTGCGAAAAATCTTGGCAACCGTTTTGCAATACTTTATGCATGTGTTTATTATTATATAATGTATCATATATATACTATGCATACACATAGTTTATTTTATTCATCATTAGGCATCGGAAGTTGTTATTCTATTGTTCAAATTTATTGCTAAGTAGTTAATACATTTGTTCATGCAAGTACGAATTAAGTCTAAAAATGTTTAGTGCAACCTTATTTAATTTTTGGAATTTTTTTGATTTTGTTGATTTTCCTCATTTATAATACAATTTTAGATAATTTAAAATATTATTCACTTGATTTAATTTTTTTCTTTTTCTTAAGTAATAAGATAACAATGGGGGGGGGGGGC